TTTTTTTTTTTTTTCAAAAGCAATGTTTGGAAAAAACAAAAAGAGCAATGTTTTAAAGCCCAATTGGCCAAAAACTTGAAACAAAAAAAGGGCCCAAGTCCAACACCCCTCCTCCTCCTCCTCCGCCTCCTTCCCTCTGTAGACTGCGATTCTGGCCGCCGCCGCCTCCTCCTCCTCCTTCCCTGACCGTGTCCGGTTGAAATCTGCGGCGTCCAACCCATATTTCATCCCCGTGTCGTGTCGTGTCGACACGGGTATGCCGACCAAAAAGAAGGGTCCAAGCATCACAAATTAAAGCTCACAATGGTCGACAATGAAAAGATTACAATCAGGTATGCCTGGCTACAACAAGTTAAAGACTCTTTCTCTGATAAACTCCACAGTTCAAAATCATAGTTCAACTACATAATGAAACAATATCGAAATGAGCTTAAAAGTTTTATTTTCATAGAGCCCTTCATTCACTAGCCATTTATTAGCAAAAAATAATTAACAGAAAGTAACAAACGATAGTTGCAACTTTTTGGGCTTGCTGGCAAGTGGCAACACATTACACAGTTTGGGAATGACAACAGTAACGAAAACAAATGAAACGTGGATCAAGCACACAGCCACGCATACAGAGAGAAATGCAATATACCTCCATAAAATTGTGAAACTGTGTGAACATTCTGAACATCAGCTTTGGTACAGTAATATGCCCCCTGAACAAAATGATGAATCATGTGAAGTAAGCCCATATGAAACCAAATGACATGTCCAGAAAACACAACTGGAAAGTAAGAAGGGGCTTTACCAGGATTGATCAAAGTGTACATAGGGATAACGAACAATGACTGGCTGGACAGGATAACCAGGGATAAATGCACCGAGTTGGAAAGAAATAAGAAGCCTTCCGTTGGTTGTCGTTCCCTCAGGAAATAAAAGCAATCGAGGAAACCGATTGCAAGAAGCTTTTCTCTGTATTCAATTCCTTGAAACACATTTCTGTATCAAATAGCTTTATATATCGATAAAACTTTCAGAACATGGAATTCTTTTTCCCATGTTGAGCACAAAATTTTTAAACCTCTAGGACCTTTTTCTCTTGTTTTATCTTTCAATTTTAAACAGACAGTAGACAAAAAAGGCCAGATGCTTTATACCTTTATTTCGTTGACAGCATGCTTCCTCGAAGATCTTGAGAATCTATCAACATATATTACCTATGGAATTCATAGGAACAATGTAACTAAAATGTATAACTTAGAAAGTGAACAAGAACTATTGTGTATCTAGCACATAAGCTGTGGAAGCCCATCAAATCAGAAGAAGTCAAAAGGTTACTATATGTAAAATGTAGCCAGTAAGTAAAGATTTTAAGGAGTATAAGAATACCTGCATTGATCTGATGATGGTTCCAACAAAAGGCATGGAATCGTGCGATTCAGAGGCGACAATGGTGGGAAATAATTCATAGAAAAAGAAAATAGGTTCAACATATGATATATGATTAGATACAACTATAGGAGCAATCTCCCTCGGAGCAGGATTTCCTCTCCTTTTTATCCAATGGTAGCTGCAAAGTTAAAAACCAAAAGGAATAAGAATAAGTTTCTAACTCAGAGCAAACTTATGCAGTAAAAGAAAAGTAATATCAATCATAAAAACCTATATAAACATAGCTACTCCCCTCATCATGAATTACATGTCTTCATTTCCCCTGATGGAATCCAAATTCATCTCAACGATCCCAAACTATACACTCCCTTTATGTCTGTACTTTTCCAAACCATCCTCAGTGAACGATTTCAATTGCATCATTGTTCATCGTTCAAAATAAAATCCCACAAACCAAGGCCACTTTGTGAAGTGCATATCAAGTTATGTAATTGGAAAAATACACGAGACATAAAATTTTAACTCTTCTTTAGCATTTAACAAGTATGTCCAGTTCTAGACATTGAACAAATTCAACAAATCTTTACATCATTGATTAGGATTCCTCATTGCTCGTTCCTCAACCGTTCCCACTGTTTTACACACTCCAATCACAAGAAGATGAGGGAATTCCCTAAGAACCATGTTCATGTACTAATTCTGGAAGAGACGGATGGTTTGTCTACTTGGTCCCAATATTTGGTAAAATGAAATACTATTTGATCTCACATGCTGTGAAAATTTTAGATTTCTTTTCAGCAAGAACATAAATTCATTGTTGTCATTTTTTACTGGCGCCATGCTATTCTATCCACCTACTAACCTAAGTTTTTCTCTGGATTCGTGGTTGAGAAAAAAAAAAATTTAATAACTTGTGCATTAATATGTCCCTCCAAATAGTGTTATCTATATATAATTCTCATATAAATTTCTAAAGCTACTGTTGACAAGAAAAATATTTGACCTAGCTTTGAAATCATGCATAACTTGATGAATAGCGTAGAGGTAATCCCTCGTAGTTTCCAAATTTTATTTTATTTCATAGTTAATCTTGGTTCCTGCTTATGCACGCCATATCCTCACGTTTGATAATCATTTAAACCCATAAAGAATTAAGCCGACCACATTCATTCAAGTACCATCAGTATTGAAGAATTTAAGGCGAAGTTTCGTAAACAGATCATCAAAGGACGTAAATACAGAAGAATAAATATTCATCCGTGCATGTAAATAACTACTCTAAATCCTTTTTTTACCTTATTTCATTGACCTTCTAAACCCATAAAAATCTAAAATTCAATATTTCGTGCACGTTATAAATGCATATACGACAAGTAACAACTAAAGAGAGAGTCGCATAAAACATTAGCTTTGAAAGAAAGAGCTCGCATAAGTTCTATCAAATTAACATATCTTATCAAATTGCATACCCAAAGGAGAAGAGAATTAAACGGGCGCAAATACGGGTGACCCACATGAGCCGGCAGCGCCATTTGGGCATTGGGTTCTCCTTATCTTTCCACCCGCAGAGCGCCAAATACGTTGCCATGTATCCCACCGCAAGGGAAAGCGAAAAAAGCGCAAGCCTGACCAGGGCAATAGGCAGACAAATCAAAATCTTCACGAACTCATAAACCCCCGCGATGTTCAGCGTATGATTCCGGAACGGATCGATCGTAATGGAACTGGGCACTTCGAAATCCTCACGGACCCCAATAAACTCAAACGGGTTCAGCGGATTGTTATTACTTCCGCCGTTTTGCTGTATATGGAGTCGGGTAGATGGGCTCTGAATGGCCGTCGAATCGATGAGGTCAGGGTCCGGGTCCTGAACGTTTATTACTAAATGGGACGGATGGTCCGAGTGTGGCGCTGATAGTAGTGGAGTGGAGATTGAGTGATGCTCTGTCATTGTTGATGCTTTGACGGACAGAACGAAAAGTAAAGAGCGAAAGAGACTATCCAGACAGCGAGCGGGGCTGTCGATATGGAGAGAATAATGAAATTTATATCAGATTTATAACAAATATTGCATCATTTAATTTATAATTTTCCATATTGAGATTTGGAATTGATGAAATTTATGATTTTACATATTGAGAAGAAAAAAGTAAAAATATCAGACTGTAAATTCCAGAATATGTCAAGTTCATGAGAGCGCAGACTCCTTGGACATAACATAATTCATATTTTAAAGAGTTAATCCTTAAAGTTATGTTCTAAAAAATTCTTTAAATTAATATTTTAATTTAGAGAGCAAGTTTGAGAGTCAAATCCACTCTTTATAATTAAATGCATTTAAAATATTTTAATTTTCAATTGAAAAAATAGTATAATAATTTGGAGGAAGGCTAGTGAAAATAAAATATAGAAAAAAATAAAAAATATTTTTTTAGAGTAATAAAATTAAGTGTTAAATATAAAGAGCAGTTGGAATACTTCAAAATTTTTACTCTCTAAACTTATAAATGTTCAATAAATTATAGAATATGCTCTTTAAAAATAAAGATCTTTCGAAGATACTCTGAAGGGGTTTGAGCCTTTTTTGGCAAATAAATTTGTAATAATGATTTTTTAGAGAATATGTGATTAAAAAATATGAAAATTTTTTAATTTATGTATAAAATTATTTAATTAGAAGAATGTGTAATAAAAAAATGAATTTAAAGAAAAGATGAGATTTGAACTTGTCACCAAGCATGTGATGTGAGAGACATAAGCCCTGTTTGGTAGTTTTTTTTTTATTTTTTTAAATATTATTTTGAATAGTAAGTTTTTGAAAAAAGTGAGATTAAAAATGAATACGTAGAAAAAAAAGAATTTTGAAATAATTGAAGACAAAATGGACAAAGTAAGAATATATTTACAATTAGAATATTAGTAAGAGTGATTATTACCACTATAAATATTATTTGTTACACCACACTATAAATTTTATTTTTGATAAATGTACCGCATTAATTTCACCATATAATCCTAATCAAATTAAAAATTAGAAGATTGCGGTGCATACTCTTCAATAAGAATTATACTATTTGTACCATATTTTTGTATAATGTTGTTGCTAATGTTGTGGCATGTTATATCAAAATCGTTGTACGCCAAGCATTATTCAATAAGACCTTTCTTCCATTCTCTCTCCCCGCCCAGACCATTTCGATTTTTCCCATGTAAAAGACTTCCCCACACCGCTACCACAAGTCCCCCAACACCGTTCCTTCCTTTTTCTAGATTTGATAGTCAATCTTGTGTATCTCTACCTTTCTCATTCAGAAGAGACAACCTCCTGATCTGCAACTCTTGCTGTTGATGGACCGCCAACCAGGTATGTCATTTTTTACCAATCTGCAAATCATCCAGAAAAGTTGTTTTATCAGGAAGCAGGAGCCAGCAGGCAAAAAAAAAGATGAACATAGATTCGAAGTATGAATGCTCAGAAACTAGTGCAAATACCTAATACTTGGGTTTTTTTTATTCAAGAGTTGAGGCTGAGGAAGCGGTACTACCTACTTTCATTTTAGGAGCCAAAAGAGAAGAAGGAATTGATAGCCAAAAGGCATGAATGACTGCTAAACATGTTATTTATCAATGAAAATTGAAGGTCTATCTGGTGATAGAATGACAAAATGTTTCGATAGTGGTGGAGCTATAGAGCGGTGGAACAAACGAAGATGTGTCATTTAAAAAAATAATAAAGCGTTTCTATTTATGACATTTTACTTATGACCATATTTGAAAATATGAAAAATGTTGAAACGTGTGGGGTAAAAAATAAAAATCGTGGTGGCAATATATTCACCCTATTAGTAATAAATCTCTTAATCCCGTATATGATTAGTTATAATATATATTGAACTATAGTATAATCAAGAAGCTTATCTGATTTGTTAAATTAAAGAATAATATTATTCATCGACGGTAGTAAAGTCATTGTCATATTGTCCAATAAAAAATATGCATTGTATTTCTACTTCATTGAACAATATAGCAGTGGTCTTCCTGCCACAAAACTCGATATTAATCATTAGAATTGATGAATAGCATTCTCTAAAATAAACCAGAGACAAACTAACAGGTCGATTTTTCAAGCTAATTAATGCAACTTGCTTCATCTTAAAGCCACAATGAGAGAGTTTTGCTTAAGCGAGTCCTAAAGATCAACCCCCTTCTTTAGAGACTTTCCATACAACCTTTTAGTCTAGGGTAGGGCGTTCCAATTCTGAAAAGGAGTACAAAGTGCCTCTTGGGAGTGTGACGGGCAAGAGAAGCTCGATTCTTGGTCATGCTCATACCTCTCTAGTCCTTTCTTTATGCTTATCCTTGTATGCTATGCATATATGGTGAAAGACAATGAAAATAGTAAACAAAACTAGTAAAGTTACTAAAGGCAATCTCCCTACAAATTAACAGAGGGCACTGTTTATAAATATGCTCAATATGTACCAGAATTAAATTTAAGTATCTCGTAAGAACTTAGGACCTGTTTGATTCAAGTTATTTTCCATGGAACTTGAAAAATAATTTTCAAGTTCCAAGTTTTTTGTTGTTTGATGGCAAAAATTTTCTTGGCAAAACATTTTTCACCTCCCACATGACCCCTTTTCCATGTTTCAAGTGAATTGGTTTTCCCACCAAAGGGGTGACAAAGTGGTTTCCAGGGTTTTTTTTTTTTTTTTTTGGACAATGAAACAAATTATATACCCAATTGTAAAAAAAATCATTTAATGGACAATTTCCATGGAAAGTAAAGTCAAACGAACACCAAAAGATCTAAAACTTCAATATTTTCAAAGTGAAAAATTATATTAATCAAATACAATTAATTGACAATTTTCAGGAAAAAAATTTTAGACAATTAATTCATTTTCTTTCTACTCAAATTCCACTCTTACAATCAAACGGACATTTAGTTCTTGTTATTTTATGTACTTTGTGTCTACAGCCTTCAGGAGATTATACCATTAAATGCTGGAAACATATTTGGTGCTGACGATAGTCGTCTAGTTTCAAAGTGGGAAAACATAATTCGTGAAAATCTGAACAAAATTCCTCCAGTGACTAAGCTTAAATGCTATAGTGATCATGCTTCTCCGTCCAGGTTTAAGCCATCTGAAGATGCCCTAGATATTGAAGATGAAATTTTACTTGAATCAGACAGTGATTTAGAGGAGAAAATCTACCTATTGGATGAAGAACCAAACAATCTTGATGAAATCAAGGATGGAATGGTTGGAGGAGAAAACTTCATTGATGTTGATACCTTGGTGTCCAAAGTGGAGCAACGACAATTTTATTCTCCAAAGAGACTCAACTAATTGAACTACTTTAGAACACATGATTTAGATGAAAATGGAGAGCCAAGTCATCATCTTTCACACCCCATCCCCACCAAATCAAAACGTCAACGGTGGCCAACCATCTGCTACCGCACCGTCCAACAAAATCAGAAATCAAAATCATTCCCTTCAAAACCAGGAAAACAAATCAAAACCAAAAATAAACTCACTCCTCCAACATCAAAACCAGAAATCAAATCAAAATCACTTTCACATCCCATGCAAACAATTGGAGGTTGTCTCGTGGTGTGCGCCCGAACAGAAACTGAAGAAACTGGAACCTCTTTTTGGGCATGGAATTGGAAGCTGTTAGGGGGTGATGATATTTAGGAATGAATTGAAATTAATGGCTTTCGAAGAGCCAAAGCCTCCAGATTTGTAAATGAATAAACACACTGCTGATTTCAAATTACTGAAATGGTATTTTTAAATACAGACTCCAAATACGGTTACTAACCCACTAACTAAGAGCACTAACTAACCACTAAGCCCATTAACAACAAACCCAGTCCACAAGACCCAACTAACAAAATAAAAATACAAATACATAAATACCCTTAACAATTAAAAGCATCACATTAACGTTCCAAAAGCATCTTCACTTTCCTTGAGCTCCTTTTCTCCCATCCTTGTTTGAACCGTAGAAATGCTTCCGTCTTCAAAAGAGATTGTCCACAAGCTCTGGAAATCGCCTCGTCAACACATCAAGATCTTCACAGGTTGCATCTTCGATGGTTGTTCTTTTCCATAGAATAAACACCTCGACACCTGCTCAGTGCCCTTTCTTTTTAAGTCTTCTCTCCAGGATGGCCTCAGGTTTCAGCATCAGGGCTCCCTTTGGTGTTACCTACGGCAACTGTGAGTGGGCTTGGGTAAGGGTTCCTAGTTTCGGTTTAAGGCACGAAACGTGGAACGTATGGTGAATCTGTGCTTCCCGTGGCAAATCTAGGCGGTACGCTACCTTCCCTATACGGAGAAGGATGCGATACGACCCATAATATTTGGGTGATAGCTTGAGATTACGTCGGAGGGCCATTGACATTTGTCGATACAGCTGCAGGCGTAAGTAAACCCAGTCCCCCTCTTGATATTCTCGTTCTGTTCTCCTTACATCTACATGTTTCTTCATCTTCTCTTGTGCTTTTTGGAGGGTCTCTTTGACTAGTTTTGCAATGAAATCCCTAGTCTTTAGCTTGTCTTTCACTGCTTGTACTCGTGTTGCCCCCATTTCATAGGGTAGAAGTTTAGGGGGAGGAACCCCATAGACAGTTTTGAAGGGACTTTCCTGAGTAGAACAATGAGTTGAAGTGTTGTATGTGAACTCTGCTAAGGCTAGCCATTTCTTCCAGTCTTTGGGCCTATCACTCATAAAACACCTCAGACAGTACTCTAGGCTCTTGTTCACCACCTCGATTTGGCCGTCCGTTTGTGGATGGTATGCCGAACTTAACAACAGCTCTGTTCTACATAGTCTAAATTGCTCTCCCCAAAACTGACTGGTGAACACGGGGTCCCGGTCACTGACTATAGTTTGTGGAAATCCATGTAGCTTAAAGAAGTTTTCCGTAAATACCCTAGCAACCTTTAATGCTGTATAAGGGTGGTGGAGGGGTAGGAAATGAGCATATTTGCTCAACCTATCGACTACTACCATTACTATAGTGTGCCCTTCAAAAGGTGGTAATCCATCCACGAAATCCATACTAATATCAACCTAATTCCTCTCGAGTATTGGGAGAGGCTGCAATGATCCAACAGGGTAAATAGTTTCTACTTTGTTTCTTTAACAAATGTCACATTCCCTGATGAAGTTTCTGACGTCTCTGCGCATACCTGGCCAGTAAAATTCTCTTTTTACTCTTGAGTAAGTCTTAAATACTCTAGTGTGGCCCCCTAATGGACTACTATGATATTGTTGCAAGATCTAAAGCTGGAAGGATACCAAGGTCCCAAGATGGATTCTCCCTTTATAAAAGAGTAGACCATTCCTAAGCTGGTATTGGGAAGGGTCCAAGGCCCCCTGATGGTGGTTGCATAAAAGCTCCTGCAACTGGAGGTCTTAGGTGTAAGTTTTCTTCAACTCTTCTATCCATTTTGCTTGAATCGTGCTAATGGCTTGTAGTGCTACTTTATGACTGGTTGGGTGTATCTGTAGGTTTTCTGGGTGATAGGATTTGGTACTTTGAGATGTTAGGTTACTGTTTGGGGAAATTTGGAGGGTGGTGTTTGGGTTATTTAGGATAGGTAATCGGGTTAGGGCATCTGCAACAGTATTTGTCTTTCCAGTCTTGTACTCTACCATGAAATCATACCCTAATAACTTTGAAACCGACTTCTGCTGTGCTGGTGTCCCAATCCTTTGCTTTAACAGATGTTTCAAGGCTTGCTGATTGGTGTGAACCTTGAAACTTTGTCCCAACAAGTAATGCATCCACTACTGTACTGTCATAACTAGTGCTAAAAGTTCATTCTCATAAGTTGATAAGTTTAGGCTTTTTCCTTTAAGTGCTTGGCTTAGATAAGCTATGGGTTGTCCTTCTGCATAAGTACAACACATAAACCTTCCCTCGATGCATCACATTCAATAATAGATTGTTTAGAAAAATCAGGTACCTTTAGGACTAGCGGGTTCATCATGGCCTGCTTGAGCTGATTAAATGCCTGCTGAGCTCTTTCATTCCAACTGAAAGCATTTTTTTAAGGAGTGAAGTGAGTGGTGCTGCTTGAAGTCCATAACCCTGTACAAACTTTCTGTAGTAACCTGTAAGCCCTAGGAAACCTCGGAGGTCCTTTAGGTTAGCTGGTACTAGCCATTCCTGCATGGTTACCAATTTATGGGGGTCTGCCTTTACTCCCTCCTTAGAGATCAAATGCCCCAAGTACTGTACTTTTTTGCTTCCAAAGGTGCATTTATAAATTTTAGCATAAAATTTGCGTGTCTTCAAAAGTTCCAACACAACTTTCAGGTGCTCTAAGTGTTCCTGAAAGGTACACCAAAATATCATAAAAAACACTAACACAAATTTTCGGAGATAAGGTCTAAAAACCTCATTCATTAGCCCCTGAAATGTAGATGGAGCATTGGTAAGACCAAAATGCATTACCAAAAACTCGTAATGACCCTCATGGGTCCTGAAGGCAGTTTTAGGTATATCCCTTGGGTACATTCTGATTTGATGATAACCAGAACGTAGGTCTAGCTTAGAAAAGAATTCAACTCCATAGAGTTCATCCAATAATTCATTTATGTTGGGCATAGGACACTTATCTTTGATCGTGTCTCTGTTTAGGGACCTGTAATCCACACACATCCGCCACTACCATATGCTTTCCTCACCAATAGTACGGAAGAATAGTAGGGACTCTGGCTTCTCCTTATAATGCCGCTGTCAAGCATTTCCAAAACTAGATTCTCAATCTCAGACTTCTGAAAGTAAGGGTACCTGTAGAGCCTTAGACTTATTAGTTTTGCTCCTTTCTGCCATGGAATCCTGTGGTCATGACTCCTAGGCGAAGGCAGACCCCGTGGTTCAAAAAAAACCACTTGAAACTGTTGGAGAAACTGTTGAATGCTTAGGACAATTTCCTGTTTCTGTTCCTGGTCTTCTCCCCAAAGCAATTGTATCCAGACTCCTCTTAATGTGCCTTTCCCAAGCCTAAGGTGATGATCAACCTCTATCAACACAGCTGAAGGATGTATACCCTACAACTTAGATTCCACCCCTTTTGAAATAAACTGCATGGTGAGATCAGAAAAATTGCACAAACCCAATTGCTTAAGCCAATCCACCCTTAGTACTACATCACAACCACCCAAGGTAAGCACAAATAATGGAGCCATAAACTTTAAATGATGTACTTGAAGTGGGATCGCCCTACAGTAATCTTGGCAAGGGATGCTATCACCATTCGCAACCTTGACTGCCAGTTGGCTTTCCTCCACTAGTAGTTGTAATTTCCTTGTCACATTTGAGTCCACAAAGCTATGAGTACTACCCGTGTCCATTAGGATTACAACTTTGTGTTGGTTTATGTTTCCCTCTACCCTCATGGTTTTGGGGCATTTGAACCAGCCAAAGCATGTAATGTTATCCCTAAAAGCTCACCAGTCTCATACTCTTCACCCCGAGTCTCTTGGGCTTGTATCACTACCAACTATCCCTCAGTTTCATCAATTTCTTCCTCTCCTGATTCTAGCCCCTCTAGTAAGAATAATTTTGGTTTAGCACATCTATGACCTGGATGGTATTTGCCCTCACAGAAGTAACAAAGTCCCTTGCTTATTCGGTCATCCATTTGTGCCTGGCTAACCCTCTTAACTGGGAAGGTATTTCTGCGAGGTGGGAAATGGATATTTGTGGGGGGTTTTGGTTCAGTTTTGGGAATGGTGGGAGTAATTTAAAGACTGGTGCAGAGGAGCTGGGTTTGAGATTGTATATGGGTTGTGGAAAGGAATTTCTGGGTTTAAGGGGCTGGTTTCTCATGTTTACTTCGTCTTCTTGGAATTTAGCCAAACCAAAAGTGGCTGGGAGTGTTTTGGGTCTCAACATTGTAACCATTATCCTTAAATCTTCCCTGAGGCCACTAATGAAAGTGCTGTCTTAAATTCCTCAGTAAGTCCAGTAATCCGATTTGATAGGCTTCGAACTGGGATTGGTATTCTTCAACCGTACTAGTTTGCCTCAATTTAGTAAAAGTTTCAATAGGATCCTCATAAGTGGAAGGTCCGAACCTAATTTTAAGTGCTTTCACGAAGTCATTCAACTGAGTGACTGGGCTAGACTCTTTAAACCAGCAATACTATGTTAATGCCTTTCCCTCCATATGAAATAATGCAATTTGAAGTTTTTGTTCTTCTGGAGTGCTAAAGTAAGCATAGAATTGCTCAGCTTTGAGTACCCACTCTAGAGGTTCAGTACCATCAAATTTTGGAAATTCTAGTCTTACTAATTTAGCATGAATTTCCCCACCCCCTTCAAATAGTGGATTATTACTGACCTGGTTGTTTGATGGTCCTTCACCAGAATTGCTATTTCCATTTCCAGATTTTGCCACCAACTAGTCATAAGATGTGGCAAGATTATTTAACTGCTGGAGCACAGCATCTAGCATTTGTCTCTGGGTATTTTGTTCTCCTCGCAGGGAACTTGTTTCTCCATTCAAAACAGCGATGGCCTCGAACAATTGAGCATTACGGGTACCCTCAGCCATGGCGCAGGAACGCGGCTCTAATACCATTGTCAGGGGTGATGATATTTAGGAATGAATTGAAATTAATGGCTTTCGAGGAGCCAAAGCCTCCAGATTTGTAAATGAATAAACACACTGATGATTTCAAATTACTGCAATGGTGTTTCTAAATGCAGACTCCAAATATGGTTTCTAACCCACTAAGAGCACTAACTAACCACTAAGCCCATTAACAACAGACCCAATCCACAAGACCCAACTAACAGAATAAAAATACAAATACATAAATACCCTTAACAAGTAAAAGCATCACATTAACGTTCCAGAAGCATCTTCACTTTCCATCAGCTTCTTTTCTCGCATCCTTGTCTGAACCATAGTAGAAGCCAAAATTGGAGCAATTTGTGACACAATTGGGTCAATTAAGGGTATGCCCATTATCATTTTGCATGGCTAAGGGATTGTGCCAATTTGTATTCGTTAGTTGGAAGAATTCCTCAGTTCGCGTACGATTTAAGGTAGAATTACAGTCCAAATTTTGTGTCGATTAGGGCATCAATTAGAGAAACTGAGTAGAGACTAGTGGTTGTACGATGCTGCTAATGATTTGTGTGTACCCAATTTTGTAAAAAATCATTCCCAAACTCGTGAGTTGAAGGAGACGGAACTACCTCATTTTTCTTTCGAGTGAGACTTGTATCAACCGGAGTTGTTTTAGATGATATCCCACTGTGAGTTGGAGCACCTAGGTGAGGCGAACCAACTCACAGTAATGCATGACCATAGGCGTCATTGGAGTCGTTAGATTTTAAGGGCTGATTTTGATCTCCATATGATGTTTGTCCAATTGTTTGTGTGGGATGGTGTGGTAGTCGGTCGACGACCACCGATAGCTTTGATTTGATGGGATTGGTGGGGCGAATGGAAGATGATGATGCCCATTTTATTTTATTTTTGGTTTTTTAACTTATTTAATGTGAGGAAAATGCAAATTACCATTTTGTCTTTTTTAATTTAGTCAAAATTAATCAAATTTTGACTTTTTGGTCAACTAGTGGTCAAGTGAATTATTTTCATCCAGTTGGACTCCAGATGCATATTTATAAAATGTTAGGGACCTTCGCTGACGCAAATTAAAGATTATGGTAAATTCTGCAAAAATCGAAAAGATTAGGAACCGCTGCTGCAATATTCCATAATATAAATTCCTTTTATAATAGAGATGTGAGCTCGATAGAATATCTCAAAGGAGAGAAGGGTAGAACATGATGCTATTTTCTGCATTACCTTGAATAGTTAATCTTATAAGTTATAATCCGTCTATCAGTCTATGTAGTAGAGTTCCACAGCATTAACAGAATTACATTCCTTTTCCTGGGAGCCAACTCCTACTAGCATATGGTATAAGTCGGCCACATTGGGAGCGATTGTCTCACTCACATTGAGATTGAAGAAGCATATCGAGTGCACAGCCAAGTGCCAATGGTAACAATCTTCCAATCCAATCATTACAATCTGGTGGAAGACCCGTTTACTTGGGTAACTTCATGAGACATTTACAAGCTTTAAATGTATGTGGATCCACTTCTACTTGAAGACCTAGTTCAGGTACATCTAGTCTCTAGAGACCTTTGAAGCTCCAAACTTACAATAACTTGTTGGTTTTCTAAATGGGTCGTGCCACTTTGACAGATGATTTGACATAATAAGTGTTGACAAAATATGATTGGATGTAAAAGTTGACCGTGTTTTAAATAGTCCATTGATTAGATGCCACGTGACATTATGTCAATAATTGTGTCAACTTGTAGCATAATTCTTTCTAAATTCCCTTCGAATATATTTCTCACACACCATATTCCCCACTTCCTCAAGAACCGATTTTCTTCATCAGTGACACACTGTTGCAGAAACAGAAGATCCCATCCTGCTCTCGTATTTTGTTTTGAACATGCCTTCTATGGTAGGCACAATTTCCAACAATGGCTACAACATATCTCTGGAAACCTTTATGAGGGCGAAACTTGGACAGGGCAGATGATGTCGCTTTATGGTTCTCACTCGGTCTCATTGTTTTCTTTAATATTGCTGGAGGCTCATACAATATCGTTATGATCAATTAATGGGACTTGACCGAAAGTGTTTCTCGAAGCAAGCTTACAAGCTACTCAATGAGTCCAGAGGATGCCAGCGTACCCGCAACATACCCTGAAATATCCTTATTAGATCCGTCAGCACCACCAAAGAAACAGATCTCTCTCGGAATGGTTAGAGAGTTTCCTAGAACATCAACATCATAGATGTCCCCGCCCCGTAGGAAGACCCTCTTCCCCATTGCGAAAAAACCAACAATCCCAACATTTTTTCATTATTTGTAGAATAGACCAAGCAAAATCATTGGGAACAACAATATCTTTAACTCGTGCATTCAAGATTTCTTATATTTTAGAGATCTCCAAAATTCAAGAGGAAAGAGCGGCAAGCTGATGTTCTTCCTCGGCCAATGAGATGTTTCCCAAAAGTTGCAGTCACATCCGAACATTCTGATCAACAGAACCAGAAGCTAGCACTATACAACTAAAAATACTCGAAACAATTCAAACACCCTTTTGTTCAATAGATAAGTTCTGATTACACATTGCTCCTGCACACAGGTTTCTGAGTAGCTTTAGGGACAATAAGATAGAGTGACGATGAGAAGGTTTACATAGAGATTGACATAACTTAAGGATGGGCACAGTTACATTCTTGGAAGCAAAGTCTGACTGGCCATGAGGAGTTCTAGAAAGATTGATGAGCAACCTTGCTTGGTGTGTACATTTTGAGTTGCTCATTCCTTAACACAATATCACCTACTGTTTAAACAAAAAATAATTTTTGTAACCAATCATTTTTTTACACCTCATCTGTCAACAAAGTGGGCAAAAACAGGATGTACATATGGTATAAACCAATGCCGAACAACCCATAAATTTTGATTCTCAAAAGGAGTCAATGTCAACAAATAAATAATTCATTGAAATTTTTAGATACTAACTGGTATGGGCAGAGTATATTTTCCATAGTATATCCTTCTAGTTTTTGCAGAAATTATAACTAAATCAACTCTATAATCATTTCTATGGTTTACAATTTTCTCTCTTTTTCTTTTGCCTATCCATTCGAAACTCCATTGTCTTGAGAAAATATACTCTGGGTCGAGTAAAATTGTTTGATTCTATTTAGGAGTAAGAGAAGTCGAGTACCATTCTTCATTTGAAAATTACTTTCAACCCTCGGTTCAATATTTCTCGGAAAATGAACCTCGGTTTATTTTTTCCTTTTAATCTTCTCCCATGACAGTTAAATCATATATTCTGTAATTTTGTGAAATACTGTGTCGTGTGGTAGAGATAAATCCATCAAAATGAAGAGTTGGATGCCTTCTAAAGTCTAATTGAATTCAAGATTCAACACATTATATAAATTGAGACATTATAATTTATCGAAATAAACCCAGATAGATTCTTGAAATCATTGAGGGTATTATTATACTGTTCTTGAAATTAGTCAAAGAGATTTAATTAAAAGAACATAGGTGGTTTTATAGTTGAACAAGCAACATTATCCTGTGCAAGTACTGCTTTCAGAGTACAATGCTGAATGCTGTGGCCCAATTCACCAATAGAATTGAGTTGAACTTGAGAAAAATCCATCTCATGAACCGGACATGTAAGTGTAACGGGTCTGGGCTCCAATAATAAGTTCAACGAGTTTCTCTGCACAAAAGAAGAAACCTTTAAAGCACAAAGAAGAAAAGACAGTCTGTTGCATAGTCATATTGGACACACAACATACCAGTAAGAAGCCCGACAATGGGAACCGGTTCCAGTACCTTTTGAGTACTATCGAGTCTCAACCTGAAAATCTTAATGAGCTTAGCACTCTGTTCTCTTTCCATATCCGAAGTAATGAAGTGAAAACGATGAAATGATGTAAATAGTAACCATGAGAAACATAGTACCTGGTATACTTGGAAAAAAATGGATCTCTCATAAGGTAAAGTGCCCACAAGAGCTTTCGCCTTTTTAACTGCACCATACCCAATCCATTTCAGCATAAGATCAAATTATAGTCAAATTCTTACTCACAGGGTAATATTCAGAAACCTCCCCAACTGAAGGAATGAAGAAAATGGGGAAAAAAAGATGTAACATTTTAACAAAACAAAAGTAGAACATAGTTCTCAACAAGGCATAACGATTAAGGACACTTTTGGGCATAGATACAGATAATGGACGATACAAAATTTATACAGTTCAAACATTAAAATTCTAACCTCGTGCTTCTCGAGGTTGGAAAGACGAAACTCGTTGCTATTTTGCCTCAAAATTGTGATGTATGAAATAATGCCATTGGAAATAAGGTCCACAGTCAACGAAGTAAGCCAAGGAAACCATGATCGAGTCCCATACTTTTTTATTAGTAATACGTAAATGAGTGGTCTTAAGACAAACATCATTTCTCCCATCAAAAATAAGCCCCCAGGAACGCCCTTCTCAGACAAGAAAGAGGAAAGACTAGGTTTCTCGGCCACTATTGCTGTAAGGAAATGAAGATATATTTCAACAAAGAAGTCTCTAAATGATTAAATCGTGTATCTTCAAAGCACTGATAAAACAAAAAAGAAAAAATTTACTTGGAGGGTCCATTATTGCCTGCTGACGCTGAACTCTATATAACCATGTTGGCTCAGAAACTGTCCTAGCACTTTGACCAAACCTATTTAAGGCAGATAATGCCCTTCCTTCCAGATTCGATGGATTCTGTCCATGATAATTCTTTATATTACCAGGAACCTGATGTTGCCAAGGCTTTGGTAAGAGCCCATTTCTATGCTGTGAATCTGACACATCAGAATCCTGCCCGTCATTTGTATTCTCCCCACCATGCAAGAGCATTTTATATCCACTGTTCCTAAACAATGCTAACCTAAGTAATACCCTGAAATTTATTGAAAGAAAGTCTTGTTATTAATAAAAAATAACGCTGGCTGTATAACAACTGAAGGTGCTGCAAGAAGAGCCCATTCTAATAAAGTAAGCTCCTTACTTGGTAGCTTCTGTTATAGCAATAAAATTCCATTTCTTATCATCACCATAGAATTGCTGTGCTGCAACTTCAACCATTGTTTCCAAGTCTTTGAGCAAAGTTATGAACAATGACAACGGGAAGGAGGAAGGCTGCACATGCCCCATGTGCATCTGGGTTGGTGTCGTCTCAATTATATGATCATTGACAGAAGTGATTATACCCAAAACTGATGTTACTGCAGAAAGATATACAGTACGTAGAATAGAATATATCAACACTTAAAATAAGCTAATGAAAAAATTGCAGAGAGAGCTTAAGGGATTCATGAATCTTGACAAGGCGACCAAGAGTCACTCCCATCCCTGGAAGAAGGCCCAGAGAAGGGGTTGGGGGAAATGGTTATTAAGAAACATTAGATTGAAGCAATGATTATTACACCCAAAATTGATGTTACTGCGAAAATATATAAATATACAATAGAAAACATTGATTTGGAAACAAACAATATAGTTCATAATTGGTACAGTACAATGTGAGGAGAATGTTAGGTTTTTAGACAATATGGCAGAACTTATATAGCATGAATACGAATTTTAAGGGGGAAGGGTGGGTGGAGTTGGGGAGAATAGAAATAAACATAATTTACATGCAGAAACTTAAAGATATAGAACTTTTTTAACATGCGATACTGAAGCACATGAAAACAGGAGCCCACAATCATATTGGATAATCTTCATGGATGTACTACAAAAGTTCTCTATATTTGTACAAATATTGTGTTCCTAATGCAGCCAATCTACTTAATTTAAAATATCATGATTTTTCCATTAATGAAAGAAAATAAAGACAAAAAAAAAATCTGTTTTTATTCTTCATTGAGCCAAAGAACATGAATTTAGTGCACGATTCTAAGTAAGAAGAAGCCAGTGTTACCAAAATATCACAAAACCTGCTTCTGGTCCAATTTCCGATTCAGAAAATCGTTCAGGGAGAAGCCACGTCAATCCCTGAAAGCATTTTTTCAACAATCAGATATGGGTGAAGTTCTGAAATCCAATGCAGGTTAATATCAACGTACTCAAACATTTCCATGTAAAAGGCATCAAAAAATGCCAGTAGAATAGAATGCCTTGGTTATATTAAAGAATACAAAAATTTAAAGATTATAAAATGGACCGGATGTATAACTTTACATTTCCAGCTGCTGCGCTTCGAATCTCAAATAAATATGAAAGAGGGTGCAAATAATAAATTGTGGAAGAAGGATAGGGAGTATTTCAATGCATACTCTGCAAGTGAGGTTTGTTTATGACATGGTGAACTGTATATTAAGAAAAGGCTCAACAATGGATTAGCTTTGGTAAAATACATGGCAACTTCTTATGAAACACTATCAGGCTTCTGCGCTAAAAGGTCTCATTAAAAAATTAGGTCACAAAGCGAGTTAAGCCATTGTTTGGTGGTCATTTTTTGAAAAAACATTGTTTTGAACAGTGAATTTTTTGAGAATCTGCAGTTAAAAAGTATGGAAAAGTTTTGGGTTTTCACATAAAACATTTTATTATGTGAATGTGTAGTTGAAAATGAATATGTAAAAAAAAGAATTTTGAAAGAATGGGAGACAAACAGGGGCTAAATGAATATCCACTATACAAAAAAGGCAACAGAAATTAGATCAAACTTGTTATGAAATTTGCAAGAGTTATGATCCAACACAAGAGAGAAATTTTGTACCTAGGGAGTAGGGACAGAAGAAAGGGTAGATGGAAGCGTGCAAGCATTATGCAGCTTATGATACTTGTAAATCAAATATAATCAAATATACATGTCATTCATTAAAAGCATATTTTTCCATTTCCAAGCACCTCCCATTTGTACTTATTTAGTCCCAGACAAAACTGGAAGAGACTGGGGCAGTTTGACCTCAACCGAGAATGGGGGTCATATCCATTTATAAAGCAAAAACTGATACATGGATATCATCATGTGCACATGAGAAGACAACTCTAGTATTTTAAAATTTTAATGAATAAAAAGGTGGCAATTATGAGCTCAAATTGCTTATTATTAAGAATTAGGAGGAATAGCCCAAACTCTTATAAATTGGTCTATGTTTTCATCTTTCTTCTACGTGAGATTTTATCCCTTAACATATCCCCGCAAGATGGTGGCTCGTTTGAGCAAACCAATCTTGAAATTCGTGTGCTCAATTTATTTTTTTATTTTTTTAACGAGCTCTGATACCATATATTATAATATTTGAGATTCCATCTTAAAAGATCAACTTATTAAGAGAAGTAGCTCGAGTTCTTATAAATTGGTCTATATTTTCATATGTGAGATTTTATCCCTTCACACTAGTTAACTGGTGATAATTCGTCATATTGCAGGATATTAGCTTAGAAGCATGTGTGCTATAAGATAACTCCTATTAACACTGTTTCATCCCCATTTCCTCTATTTAAGAAGCAAAATTCGAAGGAGAAACAGCTTATCACCTAAATTAAACAATTTCTAACTCGAATAATCAAAAGCCGATTGAAGAACAATACTATTACAAGTAAAGTAACATATAATTGATAAAAATGTTACTAGTTCAACAGGCTTACATTAGCTAGAGACTCAAGTGAGTGCACGTAGTCCCTATTCCTCCTAACCCATCTTTTGTAAGCCTCCATGGAACGCAAAAATGGGATCTGCACTGTAAAAAATGAATCTTCAGTTCTTCTGGGTGCAAAAATTTTTGAACCCTAAAACTTTATAAGCCAACAGCGCAAAACTTTTTTTGTCAAATCCGTTCGGAAATTATTCTGCGATTTTGAATGAACCTCGGATGAGAAAACAGGGAAAATTGTGAATTTTGGGGATTTTTATTTGTTAGTATTATACGCTGGTGTGCGTGTGTATCGCTGACGTGTACTTACAAGTTTTTTGCAGGATTGTCTTGAATTGATGAACGGATTTTTAGTGGAAGGAGTTGGGATGAGGTGCGTGTTTGGTTGACTTAAACTATGAGTTACAAATTATAATTGAAAAAGGTAAAGAAGTTACTAACTTTTAATTACAAATATTTTACAATAAAAATTTTAAAAAATAAATAATTGTTTATTGGTCATTTATTAAGTGATTATAAGTATCGAATCCACTGAACGAGTGAAAAATAAGTGAACAGTAAATTTTTAAGTTCTACAAAACGCACTAATAAGTTTGAAATGCATTTCGAAGGCTTTCCAAAGAAGCTATGAATCCAATAACCCATTCAATATTCTTCACAATGTTCTCTAAAAGATGCAATCCAAAAAGGCTTCTTCAAGTTTTAATAACTACCAATGGATTTAGTTGTTGTAGTTGTGAAATTTGTAAACAAATTTGAATGGGAGTGAACACAAGGATTTGAAACTAAGGCCATGCTTGATAACCATTATTTTCCCCTAGAATTAGGAAAAAATTTCTATTTTCATACAAAGTAAGTGTTTGATAGGACAAATTTGCCCACCCACGCGGCCAAACGAACACTAAACTTTGATAAAAAAATAGTTCTCGAGCAAAAAAAATTTTCTTTTTTACTATTTGGCAATATTAACAAATTTCATAATCAATTGTAAAAAAAATCATTTTAATGGATAATTTTCATGTAAAAAATCCAAAATTTGAAAAAAATTTCGGGTGGAAAATTATACAAATCAAACACACTTAATTAACAATTCCCTACAAAACAATTTATAGGCAATTATTTTACCTGAAAATCACCTATTTTTCATCCTTACAATCAAACGCACCCTAATAATCGAGGGAAAAAGTGAGCAACTGGTGAAAGTTTCGAAACAGGGGCCTTATAGATTGGGTAGACCAATTTATCCTTGTTTGAATGAGTAGCATGCATTGCTAGTGAGAATTTGATAGAATCTTGGACGGTTTCCTTCCATTTGTCTTGACGTACAGTAATGATGATAGTCTGGGAACCCATCTGTCAAAAATAAAAGAATGGGGACCCAAGTGAGAGAAAATATGAAGTTTGGGAACCCTAGGTGCAAATTTCCCTACAACCTAGGGTTGTTGGCAAAAACCAACAAACTGAACCAGAATCAACTTTTTTGAAATCGCCCATTTGATGTCAACATAGACCTATTAGACAAAAAAATTTAAAATGAGTCAAAACCATTCTAAGGACGTGTTCGATAGAGATTAAAATTGAAAAATTAACAGTTATTGTTGACTTTTATTAGACGAGTGAAATCCAATAATGACCATATTTTCAATTATAATTGGATTTTAAACTGTACCGAACATGCCCTAAAATCGATTTGGTTTAGGTTTCAAAATTTTGACAACGTTTTAAAATCAAATTGGACTTTTTAAAAAATAAAAATAAAAATAAAAATATTTAAATGTTTTCCATTAATTAAATTGATAAAGTACAATCTTAACCTCTAAAAAAATAAAACTACATATTAAATTTTAATTTTAAAAAATGACTAATTTGGTCATTTTTTCATTATTAAATACCAATAACTAGTTGATTACCTTAATTTGATAACTCATATGTTGAGACTTTTCTTTGATTTTTATGTATTTAAATTTACAGCTCGACGTATATACACACACATAGTTTCTTGAATCGTCAAGAAAGTATATTGAACTAGTAACGATAAAGTAAACAGTGAAATAAAATATACAGTCAACCAAACTTTTTAAAATTGTCTGATTTGAAAAACTCAAGAATGGGTCTGCTTGCACCCCTGATTACAATCCAATTGCAAAACCAACAAAACCAGTTTTATACTGAACCAAAAATATCTAGAGCGTGTAATTACTGAATAGACTTGGATTCATCTTTCAATATGAACTGTCAATGCCATAAGTTAAGCCTGCCACTGTTAACAATGGAATAATGGAAAATATGCACAAGCACTATTCAGAAAGGAAAAATGCCCGAGAGTCGTCCAATGCTGGAACTCACAGCAGTTCAATTTCCAAGTCAATTTTTCTGAATCATATCTTTTGTTTTCCTTTTCCCAGTCTTTCTAGTTCAGCTTCAGCATTCTTCAGCTCTTCTTTAAGTATTGATACTCTCTGCTCCAACTCCTCTACAGTTCCTCGAACAATGGATGGTTGATATGGTGATAAGAAATTGCCTGAAAATGCTTTCAAAGCATCGACCCCACAAACCTATCAGGCATCACCAGTTCATCAGGCTAACAACAGATATGAGAAATCATGCATAAGCTGAAAAATATAATAAAAAATAGCGATAAAGAAGAAAAAGAAATTAAAATCTTGTATTTATACTGTCCAGTCCTATCTAGTAATGGTTACCGAGCATACTCTTAAAAGAATCCTTACCTCTTGAGGCAGCAACGGCAACTTAGTTATGTGAAAATCATCATACAGCATGTAGAATTGGTCCAAGTATTTTTGTTGCATGTGCATTCTAGCTTTGAGCAACTTTGATACAACAGCTGAAAGAATAACATTTTAGTTTCAGTAAAAATATTACATAGTAAAAGAGAAGTGCCAATATGACAAAAATATAAGCATACCTTCTTCATCAAAAATTACTTGATTAATAATGATATTGTGTGTATCTATCTCAAATTTGGTCAGTTCCTGAACAAGTCTTTCAGTTTCATATAGTGAGAGGAATTCCGGAATGCATACACAGACAAATGTTGTCAAATCCTGCCCAAAATTAGAAACATTGATGGATCAGGAAGTTTTGCTAGGTATGCTGTACACATGTCAATTTCAGTTCAATTTATGTTCCCAATATTAGATCCAAATTGGTATTTGAAAGAATAAACAATTTTTTATCTTGTGTTCAACAGTTGTCTACTATGTTTTAATTGAATAATATAAACATTGAGAGTTTTTTTTTTCCCATTCTCGATCCAAATCGGTATTTGGAAGAATCAATTATTTGTCGATCTTGTGTTTTTCTTCAATTCTTACGCTTCTGCTACATCAGGTTTCTACTAGTTCCTGAGTTTACGAGTACCATTACATTTCTCAGCATGCCCCACAGCAAACTTGGGCACTTCAGTACTTGAGTGTTTATTGGCATCTAGAGTGTGTTTAAGACAGCCCTTCAACTGATCCCTAACCAGCAATTTTAATATGGATTGTGTATTTAACAAGAAGGGAAATATCTCACTGGATCCTTAAACTGCTTGTTCACTTGTTCAATCACATCTTTCATGCCTTCAAGCTTTCCAAACATCGCGTCCTCAGCAAATTCATCACCACCACCAACTAGACGAGTCATCTGACACCAACATATACAATGACAGTTATTTACATTATCAAACAAACCTGCTAGACATACATGAGAAGATAGATGCTCAGAAAACAAATATTACATCTTCATACATCAAAATCAACTTCATAATTGCAACCATCTATAATTAGTATGCCTACTGAACCTTCAAAGCCATGAGCTCACTGGGGAAATGTTCAGAAATACATGAAAGTAACAACTAATTACAAACTAAATCTTAACTGAAGAAAAAAAAACACAAACAAACTAACTAATTACAATCAGCAGGTTCTCAGTTACACTATCAACATAATGATCATTTTCTAATCTCAAGAAAAGAGGACAGAGCAATTCCAATTAGTAGTTCTAGGCAAAAGGTTTGAATGTTTATCCTTCATCTCACAGAAAGAACAAAAGAAACAAAAAACAGAGTGGGGGCAACGGAGGAGAGAATCATCAAGATCTTGTAAGCAATGAAAATTACAGCTAACAATTGATTTGGTCAGATGGTAAATCAAATCATTTTCACAATCTTTTGTACCACAACCTGAGGTGAAGTATACAAAATAATTAAATTTACTATTGTTTCACATAACCAACATTGAACAGCAACAAGCACATGCTGTTGCAGTATAATTCACCTAATTTAGCAACCTGACTCTGATATAAATCAACACTTCTGTAGTGACCACATAGGTAATCAGAAACATAATATACACATACAAAAAGAAATCATCGAGTCTGGTGGAAAAAATAAACAAAGAAAATCAAAATCTGTTTCAAAATTTGCAAGATGCTGTTACTACAGATAACTTTTTTATCATTTAATAACCAATTGAAAAAGATGTGGTAATATACAGCTAAATAAAGTTTCCTAGACAATAACAATATGCACATCACCTATCTTCAGCAAAAAGAGCAACAAGCCTGCAACAGGAGGCCAGGTATAGCCATTTTAACTTCTGAATGACAAGAGTTTTAAGCATATCCTGCTTTACATCTTAAATATACCTCACTCTCCCTCCAAAATAAATAAATACAAGAGTAAAATAAAACAAAAGGAAGTAAGAAAGTAAGCGATAATATACCTGACTCAACAAGCCCCCAAATTTACTCTTCAAACTCATCATTTTGTCAAGCCCCTTCTCTAATGTTGAAGGGAATTGTAACAGACGGAGAGTATGTCCAGTTGGAGCTGTATCAAATACTATCACAGAATAATCCATTGTTTGCACTAGCCTGGAAAAAAAAAATTAAAGGATAATTTCCGTAAACAAAATATATAGAGCATTTATATTACACAATCAGTCATTGAAATTCATTAGTTAGATGAAACTATAAGGACATTATTCAAATAATTTCATTTCTTTACAACAGATCACATGATCATATACACTTTGGGTTAAATCAACTAAACCTAAATAAAAGCATGTTTGGGAGTTGTTTATAATCGGTTTAAATTATAAATAGACAGAAATGAGTTATGGATAAGTGGGTAGTTTGTGGGTCTCACAAAATGTGTTAATAGAAAGTTATTTGAACGATTATAAACAGTTTATGAACATTAGCCAAACATGGGCTAAATGTGAAGAAATACATGACAAGGTGAAATGTGAAAGAATTTATCAGTGTTCAAGTAGGGTCAGATTCACTGAAGAAAACAAAAGGTGCTTTGGTCATGAAAGCAAGTTTTACTTGCAATAGAAATACAGAAAAAATGTCATGGCAACTTGTGAAATTTTATGGAACTAAAATTTTTAGGCATATTATGTGCAGGTGTCCTTAAAGTCAACAGCTGTGTGGAGAGGGCTACCATTATTTGCATTACCGAAAATTTAACTGTCTTATCCTGTATAACTACACAAATCCTCTTTCAACACTCCACTCTTTCAAGAGCAATGTCCAAAGATAATGTAAAAAGGTTTCCATCCTTTATTTATTTTTTATTTTTTGAGAGAGGAAGTTTCAATCTTTTTTATTTATCTCCTTTTATGGGATTTTAAGTCGACCTCTTCTTTTAAGTTTGCAATTGGTACTCAACCAATCACCTTTTTAACCAATATATGTAGCAGCCAGAACTGGATGGGCAAAAACAATTTTGATCAGTCCTAATGCTTTTATTGTCAATTAGTGCCCCTTCAACAAACTGATGAATGTGTTCATTTCATGCTCAATACTTCCTTGTTTTCCCGCAAACCAATCTCAATATTCTTATCTCGATCGCACTCCAGTAGTTGAGATTTCTCTTAATAGCCCAACTTTTGGTCCACATAACAGATCCTAGATCAGTCCTTTGAATTACTATATTATTTTGTTGATGGATAAATGCCTGATGCATTTCTCCATATAACCTAACCAGGCAGTTTATTGTTTTTCTCCTAACGTCCTTGTGAGAATCAAAGTGGAAAAGAATGGATATAGATCACAAGGGATCCTATTACTTCTTCGAAAGTGTTAACTAAGTAGTGTTTTGGATCAACACTAAGTGTTAAGAAACCAATCAAAAGAATTGCTTATATACTGTTACTCGAACTACATTCTTGAAAGTAACGTTTCTTAACAGACACACATGATTTTCTTTAGACGAAATGTCATCAGACACAATAAACTAAAGTTGTTCCACTGAACAGGTTTTCTGACCTTGGCCCCTTGAATTAAAAAGGAAGGGGTGGAAAACATTCATACATTGCAAAAATAGACTATATGTCATCTCGAAGCAGTATGAAACATAAAACTTACTTCAACATTTCTGCAAAACTCATAGCTTCATCAATTCCAGGAATAGCATTTGCTAAGTCGGATAGAAAACCATCCATATTATCTGAACCCAATGTGTCTTCATTTTCCACATTAGGATCAACTTCCTGTGAGGCAGAATTGCAAATTTGCAATCGATAAAAAACTCAAGAAGTTTGAAATCCACACAATTACCACAGTATCAATTAATACACTACCATATATGGCTAATATGCTAATACAAATATAACTTTATTTTAAGCTAAAACTTAGCCCACATCGACCTTCCTTAGTGGAGCCTAAATGCTCGCTAAGGATTTGTGGATGTCTTTTCTTAAAAACAAAAAAAACAAAAAACTGTCAAAAAGTTCCCCTGCGGTCATCTATTTTGCCTTCACCTCATTTTTCTTCTTACTTCAACAAAAGCACATTCTTTAATTCTAATTATTCTATAACCTTACAAAAATCCAGGATACCTATCCTTATAAATCTGATGACAGTAGGTTCTTCAATTTATTTATATTTGTACTTGAATAGTATAATAGCGACAATCTCATTAACTAAATCTATATTATATATGACTATGACTAATGCATAAAAATAAAAGCTCAAAGGGGAACCTAGATAGAAGCAGATTGTTGTACACGATTCCCGTGTATCGCAGCATTAGATCTCACACATTTAAATTCCCTTCACATGTATCCTTCATACTGAATATAAATCTAACAAATTTTATTTTTCCCTAAGCCACCCATCACCAATGCTTCGAATGTCAAAGTAATACAAAATCATAAGAAAAAAAATATTTGAAGAATCCAAAATAAAGGTTTAAAAAGAGCAAAAAGAAACCTTTAGAATTGTCCACAACTAAAATCATCCACAGGCCCGAAAAATTCATCAAATACCCAAAACTTCATGTAAAAATTTCACAAATATCCCATCTTTCCATCTCAAACAATCCAAACAAATCTAGAAAACCACAAAGACAACGAAAGAAAACACATTTCAAGAAAGCAAAACTAAGTTAAAAAGAGAAGACTCGTATCCATACCATAGCGTACAAGTTGGAGAAGCCATTGACAAGTGTAGGAGCCTTGGTGAACCTCTGCTGGAACGCATCGCTGAGATTGTGAGCAGGGTCAGTGGAGATGATAAGCACGGAGGGTCGCACCCGCGCGAGTAGAATTGCAAGAATGGAGCTGCACGTCGTCTTGCCCACGCCGCCTTTGCCACCCACGAAAACCCACTTGAGGGTATCCTGATCCAGCACGTTCTGCACTGTCCCTTCAGGCAATTCCTGGTTCGAATCCATCATAACAAAAACTGACAATAACAAATAGCAATACAGAACACTGCTCAATGAATTCAAGAAAGCTCTTTTACGTGTTTTTATATCTTGTTTAGGTTTTCTCTGGTTTTTCTTCTTTTTTTTATCGATGTTTCGGTTGGACGATTCGGACTCAAATAGGTCTGATTTGAGTTCTGGTTGACTCCTGTAATCAGGCGTGCTGCTTCCTTGCGTTTCCTCAATCTATTTTTCATTATTCTTAATAATTATTTATTTTTATAATATTATGATTAAAATGATAGCTATCCATATAATGCATTGGAAACGCTCTGAGTGAGCTTTGTTTTTGTAATAATTTTATGTTATTTGTTTATTTTTGTTTATTTAGACATAAGCGTGAATTATCTTTATATACAAACAAAAAAAAAAATCAATTGGATAAGAATAATTATGTTTACATCAAAGTTTTTGTTTGCCATACCACATTTTAAATTCCGATAATCGAGATAGAATTTTCTGGAATTTAACTTTAAAAATTCAAATTTCTTAAATTTCTATTAATCTTATGGACCATGCTATGTGTACATAGCATGGTACATAGGGATGTACATAATGTGAGACGAGAGGGGCCCGCGCTACAGTAGCGCGGACCCCACCCCTCTCACATTATGTACACCCTTATGTGTATGGCTATGTACACATAGCAATATTCTAATCTTATTACCTTCAATTATGTTTAGTGTACAACAAGTTTGACATTTCATTATTTGTTAAAATCTGAGCCATTAATTGTTTAAAATATTGTTAAAATCAATGTATAAAAAACTGTTATCTCATAACAGTATCAAACTTGAAGTACATGTAGCAAGATACAGCAACTTACCTTCTTTATTTTGACATGGGAGGAGAAGAATTTTCATTTCTGTTTAGAATTTATTCCCCCTCACTTTTTCGAACCACTCACTTTGTAGATTTTTTGACCTACATTAATCTACTTAATTTGCATTATATATATTCAATCACAATTTTCACGTCTCAGTCGACAAGGAAAAAACAAAAGTCACATTTCAAGTCTTCGCAGTCATTAACATTGGTAGAATCGCTCTCAAGGACGAGATATACACCAAAGTCAATCCTAATTTTACGTATTCGTCACAATTTTCAAGAGAAAACAAAACTACGAAGACAAGCATGTCCCATCACATAGGGATACAAAAATAATAGAGAGATGAACAAGATGAACATATGTATTTGATGTCGTAAAGACGTAAGGGATTACAAAACAAAGTCTAGCATGTCATTTCACTAGTCATATGGATAATCATACTAGAGGTCACAACATATGCGAAATCGTTACCCACATTTCTCTATATTGGTCACGACCAAAGAAGAGAGAGAAACAATGTCAATCGACCACAATCCCATTTGTTTCCGTATGCACAGATGGTCGTATAGATGAGTATGGAGAGAGAATAACCACAATGCTAAAGTTTAGGATGAATATGGCGAGAGTGAAAATATATCTGTATATGCCACGCTTTTCCTTGTATGTTCACCAATTTCAATCAATTCCTCATCTTAAATAAATCCATTATTATTTAAAACCAAAAAAAACAGCAAATTATGACCTGATTTCTGCTAACTTTTTTCAAAATTCGATATTGTGAAAAATGTATACTAAACGATGGTAGTTACTAATCTTTCCCTTATATAAACTCCAGCTTCTTAGCCCATTTACAAGTTCAAACTGGTGCTTAAATCCTTCTTACCAGCGTACAGTTTAACACACACACGTGCTGATTTAAAAGTAAAATCAAGTCTACCCTGTTAATCTCGATAACATATTCAGATAAAATCTCAGAAAAAAGAGCCAAGAGTAGGAATATAATAATATAATTAGCTTTTAAGTAGAAAATTTGATGCATTAGTAGATGAAGAGAACTTATTTGATATACACTGGTTTATTATAGTTCAGTACATTGAGTTGTAAGCAAAGCAGGTAGCAATAATGGAACAGATACAGATTAATAGTGAAGGAAGCAGGGTGATATTTAAGAGCCTGCTCATACCCCAGTATCCAGCTATGGTTATTGTAGCATCTGCAATTACTCGAGCCAGAGTCCCGGCTTCTGTTGAAAGTAATCCACCATTATATGTCCCCTTTGAAAGCCGCGATGACATTACTCGGGATAGAAGTGAAAGGTTTACGCCTAAGGATACATTACATGAGATTTTGACTAAGTTCAGATATGTATTTACTGAATGAAAGCAACCAGAAATTACCTTCAAGAACTTCAGCAGATACGAATGTGATTAAAGCTGAACAGACATATTGTGGGACAGAATAAGGGATTATCAGCTGGAAGCTCAGAACTATTCCCATACATACCATAACTTCTGATGCCAGTAAAACTTGCCTGTGTAAAGGTACGTAAAACAGATTAAAAAAAAAGTGGTGTTATTTGAGGTACTTAGCTTATATTCGGGACAAAACTATCTTTCTTATGTTTTTTCCTTTGGGTTCTCTTTGTAACTTCATCAAGAGAGGCACAATTATTTACAGAAGTGGTAATATATCAGGTGGTCTTTACTCTTGAGCACGTCGACTAAGGGTCTTTTTGAGCTTTCTAATTACAACAGAGGTGAAAAGAGAAAAAAGGAGAGAAGAAAAAATGTTCTACTTGCAGGAGAAGCTACATCAGTGATGATATATTTAGCCCCTATTTGGAAGCGATTTTTATCCCATTTTTAGCAAATTTTTGACAGTTGGCAAGTGCATATGGGTCCCATTGCCACCACAATTATTGACTACCTTAGAAATAAATTATCGGAAATGACCTTCTCTCAAGAAGAATGAATTAAATATTAAAAGGGCACATAGGTCATTCTACTTGGTCCAGTCAATAATTGTGACTAGTATGGGACTGACATACACTTTGTAATGGTAAGAAATTTGCTACAAATTGGATAAAAAGCTCTCCCAGATGGGCTGTACGACACTTTGGCCATTAAAAACACAATCGATGAAATTTTAATCACTAATAATCGGAGCAAAAAGTAGATCAATCAAAAATCCCAATTCTCTTTGCATTAATAACCTTTCTTTTCTATTTTTCCCTTTTGTTTGATCTCTGAGGTCCCATTGGTGAAACTGTTCAGTGATAACATGTAAAAGAAGAATATTGTCTATATGAAAGAGGTTCATTGATGTCATAAGGAATTAATGTACAATGGCCAGTTAGGGGCAGGGTTTCTTGACATTTTCAATTAGTTTGCAGTGATGTACTGTCATCATTCCCAACTTACTGTATGTTTGAATGTGTGCTTGGTCCCAGTGATGTTTGTGATAGGGATCGAGAGTCATGGCAGGACGGGTAAATGGGACAAGAATGGGGGCTTTAAGGATCATTAAAAAATAATAAGAGCTGTAACAATTAATAGTTTATTTAAGGTTACCTTTCCTCAAACATGTTGCTGAGGTAGCTTCCTACAAGAATGTTCACTGGAAGCACTGTCAGGCCAAGACATGCCAGAAAAATGGCCACATTGCTGGTTGACCATATGAAGTAATGGGCAGTGACAACACTTGATTCGGCAAGTAAAACTTCCATAGCATATTTGAGCATAAAGTATACAAGTAGTTGTACCTGGTCGTATTATCAAAAATAAGTTAAACAGAATGCTAGTCTATAGGCAAAAAAATTACAGGAAATGCATGAGAGGAGTTTCCTTATTTGCATGCCCTGCGGAAATAAAATTAGATAGAGAAATCATACGAATAAGCAGTATCTTTAAGGTCCAATGTAGTCCCCATAAACAAGAAGAGTTGGTAAACTGTCAAACAGTTTCGTGGTTGAGTTTCGTTTCAGAGTGATTTGAGATCATTCTCTCACCCTGCCTAATTATTTTAGTAGTTGTTATTAAGTCAGAACTCTTGTATCAATTTTGAAACCACAAATACACTAATCCATTCAATCTTCACGGTTAGATTCTTAGACCTCACATATATTAATTTGAAAACAAGAACTTGAATTGTACTTCACATAGACGATTAAGTTCTCAACCTGCCAACGTTATGGCTAAGAAAGGTATAATCTTCGAGTGTGAATAGTACGATACTTTGTTCTGATGATACAAGGCATTCCATAACATGGATATGATTTGCAATTAGTGCTTAAGATTAAAATCCAGACCTTTACAGAGGGTGTAAGCAACTTGTACGCAGTCACAATTGAAGTGACTGGTTTCTGGATTTCCGTGGAATTTTCTTTGCTAATGTCAAATTCTTGGTCTTGGTCTTCGTCTTCATCTTCATTATCATCTTCTTCTTCCGGCTCTTCTTTCGCGGGTGAAAGCAGTGGTTGGATGACATCATTCTGCACGCACCCCGCATCCACTCCTGTAATGCAAAACTGAAATAATTATGTACACATTGAAACAAATTATAAGTTTACAAGAATCGTGCAAATAAAGCTGGCATATCTATTTCAATCATATTTCACCAGAGCCCATTAAGAATCATTATAAAATTGTTTAAGACACAATATTACAATTGTAATCCATTTTAGAGTCCAACTGACATACCCGAATTTGTTTTCCGTTGCCCAATATTCACTTCCTCGTCGTGCAAAGGTTCTCTAAATGATATCCACAACCACAGCAGATAGATAAGCCATGCCAGAGCCATAACCCATCCTGGTAAAGTATCTTCATTGAATGAAAGTCTGAAGATCTTAAAATTAGATTGAAGCAAGCAGGAAAGAGCAGGACCACAAGCTATTCCAAGTGCACTAGCACTAACAAAACCAGCAGAAGCCTTCATTCGCATCTTAAGCGGAACACAATCACTGATGTAACGTCGATTAACAGCCCTAGCAGAGCCCAATCTGGAATAATTTGAACATAGAAAAATATATCCGAATCATTTATATAACCCAAAGCTTGAATATCAATTAATACTTTATGAGAGGAAAAGCAAATAACACACTGTTGCCTACATGGGTTTCTATGAGATTTGATGCATTAGTACTGTAAATAAGAAAGTTATATTATGCATCAAAATATGATTGAACCTAACAAGAAACCATTTAGTAAAATCCAATGAAAGAATAATTAACAAGCTGAATTAAAGTAAATAAAATTCAATAGCCATTTGTCTTCTTATCTGAAACTACATAGTCGCTTACTAATTCTTCATTTTCCACTGGAGACAAATAACATACAACAGCATGCATTCAAAGGTTGCATCTCTATTCACATACTCAGAAATGCAGACTTGTAAACAGTGTTATTTATTTCCTCGTTCCTTCTCCTTTTATTTTAACAAATCATTGAGTCGTGTGTCTCAGGTATGCCTACTTGCAAGCAAAGGCATAAAATGATGTACATAATAGACGAACAAGAGAGAAAGATTATGGCTTACCCACAAAATAGACGACCAATTAGAAGCACATATATTGAGTTGAGATCATAAGCCAAGGCGTATAAAGTGTTTCCAACAAGAAGAACAATGCTGCTGAATACTAGAGGTTTCATGTATGATTTATTTGACCATGCACTAAAATAAACTGAAGAGAACACCTGAGCAACAGCCATCGACCCAATTACAACCCCACAAACAGTTGCTGCAGCTCCAAGACTTAATGAATAGCTGTCTGCTGTTGGGACAATTATATATGAATTCACCATGTATAAAAATGTATTTGCCAAGTTCAGAAGAAGAGACATAAAATGATATCTGTCATCAACTGCGTGCTCTTCTGAAGGAGTTGGTAATTCCTCTTGCAGAATAAGTGCATGTTTTCCCAAGTACTGGAGGAAGTCCGTTGAATTTGTTAACCGGTCCACTGCAACTTTGACAGACTCCATGACAGGATCCTGCAAGGGGTGTAAAGAAAATTTCTACCTCACATCAAGGTTACTTACACTTAAAAATGTCAGTGTGAGTACCAGACCCTGCAATATTCGATAACTCATACATGCTAAAGTACCAAGATCCACACTTTTGAGCACAGAATTCAACTCCAAAACCAAATCTCTAATATCATGATGTCTAAATTTTTACTTCCTCAGCCTTTGAGTTTAGACCTGATCACCATGAAATAAATTGTTGAGAAACTTTGAGTGCATATAATTGGATCGGAATAGTGGTTAACTTGAGATAAAGCTTGGCCAAATGGTAATCCTGGTTTCATTTTGTTTTACCTCTTCTTTAGTAATAGGTAAAAGTTTAAAGGAACCATCGAACTGTAGATTCAGATGGAAAAAAGTTTATCCAATGCTTCAAATGTTATTCATGGTTTCCTGGTGACTATATGTAGCATGTCAGCTTTGCGTAGCCCTTTCAACTTGAATAAAAATGAACGCCTAGTCTGCTTGGAATTTAAAGTATTTAGCTACCCCTCTTGATAAACACAGCTTAGCATATGCATGTTCATCTGAAGTTCTTAAAGCTCCTTCCTGTGCTCATGCTTCATAAGACATCTGATACCCTACAAATTCTTGTTTCAATTTGTCAAGGATGTTACATGCAGAATTTACATGACATCTAAAGCAATCTAACAACTAGGAACTAAATAGGAAATATATGAAGAGATCACGTGTTTGCAATAGTTCTAATTGATTAATGGACATGAGCATGAACCTGGAGAGGCAGTGCAGGCTGATCATAAATTGAAATGAAGGTCTCTTGATCATTGTGGAGATCAGAGAGATTGCGAGATAAAGTTCCAACAACAGCTGAAATTCCCTGCAAATCATTCATAAAGTTATCAGCTACGCTAGATACAGTAATTATAACCTTAGAACTTCTCAAAGTAGTATCTATAATATATACGGAAAGCAAATTCAAGTAGTAGGGACTAGCCTATTCAACACTTTGTAGAAAAATTATACAATTCTTTGCCATACCACATGCTTAAACACTTGTCTCAGCTGGGAATAAGGATGATTTGCTCGTGTCTTGACATAGTAATTAGTGAACTTATAACCAAATCTCTTGTCAAACTTCTTCAATATTTTACGTAGTCCAATGGCATTTAACTCTAAAAAAAAGAGAAGCCTTAACATATCCTGCCCCACATTTCTATATGATTCCTGCAGTTCAGGTATCTTCACAACGTCTGCTTGCTGAATTAGACCATTATGCTGTTCCCCAAGATAGGCCAGCCTGCTTGCAAGTTGCCCTTGTTGTTCTAGCAGAAATAGGACAATCTTTTCGATCTGGAATTATGGAAGGCAAACATAGTTTTTTTTAGAACATTGTAAAGTATAGAACAATTTAGCACTAAAAAACAGAGAAATTTCATAGTGAAACTAAAAGATAACCCTCTGGAACTAAACTTTGATTAGCAGTGGAAAGGAAAGCAAAAAGTAAAATCTCATCATATTTTCATATTGCACACTTGAATTTAGTTTGACCACAGCTGAAAAAGTTGAGGAGATGCCAGAAGGATCGGAAGTTGTGCTATTAAAAGTATGCCGTCGCTTGCATAACAGAACAAGCAAGAAATGCAATCTCTGTTTTGCTTCAATCTAAATAAGGCAGTAAGTACTTATGGCTTTTGATTTACAGAGTAACCCGAAGTATATACTTTGACTTAATTTTCTTGTTTTCTTCATTCGGTTTTTGTTTATCAGCTAACTAAAACCAATTGTCACCCAATATCTAACTAGTTTGATTACGTCATGTCATCAAAGTACCTGTAATTTTTTTCATGAAATACTTAGCAACCATCATATATTAGCATATAAGTTTCATTTATTTTCACAAAGAAGAAGGAAAATATTAGCACATAACTTCATTGCATACTAATTGACATGATTGTTTTTTCTTTTTGATTTTCATGGGCGACCATTGTAACCATGTGAAATCAGGCATTGCTCGAATTTTAGAGGGGGACAAATCTGCTTGTGTGGAGTTTCAGTTCTTTACTTCATGCTGAGAGAAAGTCAGACACTGGTGAATTAGAACAAAATTCTTAATACCTGCTTATCCAAAATTCTTGAGAAATCCATTAGAACAAAATCGCGATCTTGAGCTGAAACTTCAATTTGCCGAACATATTGTTTCACTTTCTTCTTCATTAACTTGTAGTTAATATAGTAGCTGGAAGAAAACCATATCCCAAGTAAGTTAATGATATTGAAAAACAAGCACGAAACAACAACTTTGCATAATTATACTAAGAAAACCATATCCTAAGCATGTTCAAGAAAACCATATTTGATGAAGTTCGACGACAACTCTTTTCCCATGGCACGGCAGTGGCAATTCCTGGGTACTTATAGTTGAAAGACATCAACAATTGCAACAAGGATATGGATAATCTAATTGATTCCCTTTGCTTCTTTTCGATTTATCTCAAAACCAATTTTCAAAACTAACTAGGAATCACCAATCCATATCCCTACCAAGTTTGTACAAAATAGCTGATAGAAGAATTCACATATAATTCACCATGTTACAGATGTACTTCTCACTAGACAGAAAATAAGATAAACAGAATATTTTCAAATGATAAAGTATGTTCATTTGTAAAATAAACATACCCTTGCCACTCCTGAATTTGTAGTTCTTTCAATTTTTTCCCAAAGGCAACCATCCTTCAGCAAAAAATAGTATCCTGATAACAAGACATGTAACATAAGAAATCTGCTGTCTAGTCATATAAGAGCTTCTTAATATATGTAAACTGTCTGTGTCCCATGATGTAATCGTGACCCCTAAAGTATCCCTTAGAATCAAGAAAACAGTAGAAAAGAATTATTTCAATACCCAGAGGGTTAAATAAATTACTAAACTGCATCAGATTATAATCAGAAATTGCCAACATTGGGTAGATGACATAATGACAAGGATTTCAAGATATAAATAGCATTTTATGGACCCATAGTTTTCATTTCATCAACTTTTATCAAAAAATTTACTGAAAAATTAATTTTTAATCTGAAATGCACTACATTTACAGTGATTAGAGGGCTGTAAATTTCTCTAATTTGTGGGACCACACTAATTAGAGAATTTACAGCCCTCTAATCACTGTACAAGTGGTTTTTTTCTTTTAATCTTCACCTAATATCGGCTACATCTTGCGTCTAACGTTGTTGTATTTATTTTGAGATCGATATATGTGAGTTACTTAAATCACCAATCACCAACATTTTTCTCTGATTACTACTTGCTCATTCAAAAATAAAGGGTCACCGACTACTCACCCACTTTTTAAAAAATTACCCATCAATCCCCCATTTCATTTCCATCCATCCATCCAACTAAGCAAAAAAGTTCACATGATGGATGGAAATCACACGTTGCCACGGACACAGTTGAAAAAAATGATAGGTGGATTAATTCATTAGCACTAATAGCGATTTCTCTATAAAAATATGGAAGAATCGTATTTCCCTTTTATTTCAGCATCACATAAACTACAACAGGTGGATTAATTCAGGTTTTCTCTTTCATTTCGGCATCACATGAACTGCAACATGGACTCCAATGGATACCGTCGGTGCTTGGGTCCGTGAAGAGAAATATTACACTGAGAACAAATTCTTGTGAAGATGGGCTGGAGAAAGGGAGAGACGATTCTGCCATGTTTTTACTGAGAAAACGCTCTTAATGGAAATAAATTAATCCACATGTCATTTTTTAACGGTGTTAGTGGTATGATTTCCATCGGCCACGTGGATGGATGGAATTGACGGGAAAAGTTAATCAGATGGAGTTGGGGACGAGGGGAAAAAAACAGGTGCATGCGTCAGCGCCTGTTTTTATATTTTTAATTTTAAGTTGTCCAAGCAGTGAGTAACACGTATCCTACCTTTCACTGACCCTATTTTTGCAGCAAAACTCGGAATTGAAATGGATGATTGATGGATAATTTTTTTTTTTTTAAGGGTGCGTTTGATTGTAAGGGTGGAAAATGAGTGGAAAGAAAATATTTTACAGGGAAAAGATTTGTTTAGAAAATATTTTGCAGGGAAAATGATTTCAAGTGTGTTTGATTGGTATAATTTTCCACCCGGAAAATTTTTAAATTTTCTATTCGTTTGGCTTTGTTTTACAGAAAATTGTTCATTAAAGTGATTTTTTTTCCACAATTGGTTATAAAATTTGTTTCCATTGCGAAAAAGTAAAAAAAGAAAAAAGAAAAAAAAATTGTTTCCTAAAAAATCATTTTTTTATCAAAGTTTAGTATTCGTTTGGCCTTCGTTTGCATCAAAATTGTCCATGAAAGTGAAATTTTTTTTTTACACTTGGTCATGAAATTTGTTTCCATTGCCAAAAAAAAAAATGGCAGTCAGACCCAGAATTAATTTTCCCACCTAAAAGGTGGGAAAATCAATTCACCTCACGCAAGGAGTTAGGCGCGTCTAGGGAAAATAAAAGCCAAATTTTCCATGCCAAAATTTGTCCATCAAACACCACAATTCATGAAAAGTTGGAAAATGTTTTCCTTTTCCACCCATTTTCCATGCTATCAAACACTCCCTAAGTGGTGAGCGGAAGCAAATATTGATGATTGATAATTTAATTAACTCAATATATGTCTGTGATATATCTCGTAGAATTCACACACACACACTATCATTTACCCTCAAATTATTCTATTTATTTATAATGCTTCTGTTCGACAAAATTTATATATCATTTATAAATAATAAATTTTAGTTTTCAAGCTTCTTTTTCTTCTTCACGAAAAAATTTCAGACCGGATCCATTAAAGTTTGTATTTGACGATGGACCGAATACACATGGAACTATATAAAGGGTTATGATCCCCAATTCATGTGTGGTTTTTCTCATTTTTTGTAGCATCTCATCAACACAAGAATATAAGATAAAGTATATGAAGAGGAAGATTCATAAACCCACAACCAGGAATTAAGATGGAGATTTGAAGCAACTAAATTGAAGATTTACAAATCAAGATTCAAGATTCATCAAGTCAAAAATCAATTGATTAAGGTATGGTCTATGTTAATTCAGTTTATTGATGATTTGACATGAAGATCTTGACAAGTTCATAAAATTTAAGTTTTAAATAAAGTTCCAACAGTTAGGAGCCGCTTATTATTTCCATCGCCACGTGGACTTTTTGCGTAGTTGGATGGATGGAATTGAAGGGAAAAGTTAGTCAGACGAAGTTGGGGACAAGAGGGGAAAAAAACGGTGCATGCATCAGCACCTGTTTGGATAATTTTTATTTTTTATTTTAAAATTGTTCAATCAGTGAGTGACACGTGTCCTGCCTGTTTTTAACTATGTCATTGACCTTGTTTTTATAACAAAATTTGAAATTGAAATGGATGATGGATGGATAATTTTTTTTTTTTTTTGTAAGTGGTGAGCAATCAGTATAATCGGAAGCAAATATTGATGATTGATGATTTAATTAACTCAATATATGTCTCGTGACATATCTCGTAGAATTCACAAACACTATCATTTACCCACAAATTATTCTATTTATTTATAATGCTTCCGTTTGACAAAATTTATATATCATTTATAAATAATAAATTTTAGTTTTCAAGCTTCTTTTTCTTCTTCAGAATTGTCTATATTTATTTTCTAATTTCTGTAATTAGATTAAATTAATAAAGAATATGTAGTGTAGTGACAAAATTAAGATCAAAATTAATTCGTGTTGATCCAGTCCGTTCATATATTTAAAAATTAATAAAAAGGAAGATTTATTCTAAATTTCTCAGGAATAGTTTTTGGTAGGATTAGACAAATCTCTAGAATCGAACTGAACCGAATTGAGCGATTTTTCATAAGTTAAATACCCGATCGGATATCTAAATCGAGAATCGACGTGTTTGGTTCGATTCTCTGTTCTAGACCCAGAACCGAATAAGAACTGAATTTAAATAATTTTTTAAATTTTTTTCTATTGAATTAATTAATTTTTTTAAATTTTTTTAAACAAATTAGCAAATTAACTAATTTAGTGATTAATGTTCTAACTTCAAAATCAAGTCCATGCCTAACTAGCTCAACTCAAGTGCTCAACCCAATTTCTAAATTCAATTTTTTAATTTAATTTTTTGATCATATTTTAATTTCATTTTTAGTCCAAGATTTAGGCATTTTTAAGTTTTTATCTTTCTTTTTCCAATTTCACACTTTCATTCGATAATCACTGAGTTAATGACCACAAATTATTTGATAAATTGAAAACCTATATCTATATGCCCAAATCGAAATTGTCGATTGTCGAGTCCGATTTCCCCTCTCAATGCCCATCGAACTGCCACCTTCAAGGCTCCAACCACAACCACCGATTGTTGACCATTAGAAATCTGTTAAAAAATTTAATTATGGTACGGAATCGAATCGAACCGAACCGAACCGAATTGAACCAAATGGAATGGAATCGAACTGAACCGAACCCGAACGGTTCCATAATTATATTTGGACCCGACGGTTCCATTTATTAAATACTCGAAAATTTTGATTCGATTCGGTTCGGTTCGATTCTCTTCAGAAACCGAACCATGTCCAGCCCTAGTTTTTGGTTAGTGTCAAGCATGTGGCTCAATTCCACATGAAGAATTAGTCAAAAAGGAAAATGGATTAAAGAAATAAATAAATTTATAGAACTAATTCCCTAATAGCAGAAAACCGGAATAAATAAATAAATAAATTACTGGTTTCCAAGTGTTGCCAACCACATATTTAATTTCTATCATGGTGTAGTGTAGCTATCTTTCTCCCACTAACTCTTCTTTTTCAACAAATACTTTCTGAGGAAAAATAATTTATTTCAAGACAAACCGATTGTGACTTTTTACATAAAAAAAAAAGCATAACATTATTGATAATGACCTCCGTAATTCACGAATTCTACTGTGTATATAATTTCCACGTGCAATTAAAAGCTGTTTGGATCAGATGAAGATATGCTTTTTGCCTTTCGAGTTTGATTAAGATGTTTGAACAGCTTAAAGCACCCACTTCTGATATAATTGTGTTGGTCCTCGGCAAAGTCAAGAGCCAAGATGGTGTCGGGGGTCATATCGAGGAGACAAATTGATAAAAGTTGACGAGATATGTAATTGAAAAATTGTGAGCTTATGAAATATATAGTTAAAATTAATTGTTGAATTTAATTTAAATTAAAAATTTATATTTTAATTATTACTAAACATGAGCTAAAAAAAACTCGAAATATCTACATAAATTTAAAAAAAAAATTAAAATATTGTAGGACAATCGCCACCCCTTTTGGCTCACTATTGGGACCATGTTTCGGAGAAAAATATGTTTTGAAATAGTGATTTTTTGAAGAATGTGTGGTTCAAAATAAAAAAAAGTTATGAATTTAAGTGTACAATTATTTTGTATAGTAGAAAATAAGATTTGAAAAAATGGAGTTCAAACAAGGGTGCAGTATAATTGACAAGATATAATCCATTATTTTCTCCTAAACTGATTTTACCAAATTAAATATGATTTTTTTTTTTTTAAAGTTAGTTATTTATCTTCTCCAACAAGAAATTTAAGCCACAAAAAAGGGACAGATTGTTGTATAAATAAATCAGCATTCCAAATACCAAAATCACAAAAGATAGCATGCATGCAATTCTGAATTCCCACAGCCAGCCAACATGAACACATTCCCAAAGTTAATATACTGACAGAAAATTAAGCAGACTTACAGTATGAGAAAACTATAAATTTTTTGTGGGCCTTCGAATCTTGAAGCAAGAAAACTGTAGTTCACCTCAGAGTGATCGGAGGCAAGCAATCTGAGTCTGGACTAGACGGCTGGCTACTTCACTAAACAGTGAACACAGTGTAGTCTGTGAGTGTGTGAGCCTGTGAGGGAGCAAAAGGCTATATAATGAGTGCTTCCCTCGAGCCAAGTGATGCGTCCTTCTATGAGAGGACGACACGTATAATGAATTAATGCCATAAAGTTGACTAGTTAGGTACCATATTGCAGCAAAAAGA